TTTTTTACATTTTTTATTGATTTATAATCATTTTACAATGTTGTGTCAAATTCCAGTGTTCAGCACAATTTTTTAGTCACTCATGGACATATACACACTCATTGTCACATTTTTTTCTCTGAGTTATCATAACATTTTGTGTATATTTCCCTGTGCTATACAGTGTAATCTCGTTTATCTATTCTACAATTTTAAAATCCCAGTCTACCCCTTCCCACCCTCCACCCCCCTGGTAACCACAAGTCTGTATTCTCTGTCCATGAGTCTATTTCTGTCCTGTATTTACGCTTTGTTTTTGTTTGTTGTTTTTTTTTTAGATTCCACATATGAGCGATCTCATATGGTATTTTTCTTTCTCTTTCTGGCTTACTTCACTTAGAATGACATTCTCTAGGAGCATCCATGTTGCTGCAAATGGCATTATGTTGTCGGTTTTTATGGCTGAGTAGTATTCCATTGTATAAATATACCACATCTTCTTTATCCGGTCACCTGTTGATGGGCATTTAGGCTGTTTCCATGTTTTGGCTGTTGTAAATAGTGCTGCTGTGAACATTGGGGTGCAGGTGTCATCCTGAAGTAGATTTCCTTCTGGATACCCAATGCTGTTTTAATGATTGAGTTTATGGTGTGCTTTCACATCTGGTAGAGAGTTCCTCTTGATTATTCTTTTTTTGGAGTTTTCTTGCCCAGCCTTGTTTATTTTTCCATTTGAACTTTAGAAATTAGTTTGTCTTGTTTTAGGGTGGAAGGAGGGGTGGAAGTAGGGAATCCTTCTGTTGTTTTTATTGGGATCCTGATAGTTATGCACTAACTGGGAAAATTGACATTCTTATGAATCTGACAGAATCTAGAAACATAGTTTGTATATTTATTTCTTAAAGTGTGCTTCCCCCACCTTGATTGTTTTAAATATTTCTTTATACAGGTGTCTATGTTTCTTGTTTATTCCCAAATATTCTTTTTTATTGTAATGGGGTCTTTTCTATCTTTGAACTAGGTTTTTAGGTATTTATGAAAGCTTTGATTCTGTTTATCAATTTTATATACTGTTACCTTTTAAGTTCTCTTGTTATTTATAGTAGTTTTTCACCATTAATTCTTTTGGGTTTTTCAAGTATACTAGTATATTGTCTATATAAATAGTTTTATCTTTTTCTTTCCAGTTATCATCATTTCTTTCTCTTGTCCAGGGGCACTGTCTGTACCTCCATATTTTATCAAAGGCAATAAATAAAGTTTATGATAATGGGCATCTTTGTCTTTTTCTTAACTTTAGAGAGACTGACTGCCATTAGTGTTCCCTAGTTTTATATAATTTTTTCTTGTTAAGAAAGCCATCACTTTTTGTTGTTGTCTGCTTGTATTTTTAAAGTCAAGGATAGGTATTGAATATTGTTAAATGCCCTTTCAGCATTTATGGAGATGATCATATGATTTTTCTTAGATCTGTTTATGAATATACCTTGCTACTTGTTATATTTTATGAATATTTTGTTTTGAATTTTTTGCATCAATATTATGTGATATTAGCTGTCTTTTGAGGGGGAGGGGTGGTATTTTCAAATTAGGTTTTGATGTCAGTGTTCTTACATTATGTGTTAGTTTGCTAAGACTGGCATAACAGAACACCACACACTAAATTGCTTAAACAAAAATTAACTTTCTCATGGTTCCGGAGGCTAGAAGTCCAAGACTGAGGTGCCAGCAGGGTTGGTGTCTGGTGAGGCCTCTTCCTGGTTTGCAGATGGCTGCCTTTGCTGTGTCCTGATGTGACCTTTCTTCTCTGTGCACAAGGAAAGAGAGATCTTGTTGTCTCTTCCTCTTAGAAGGATACCAGTCCTTTTAGATTACAGCCCCAACCGTATGACCTTATTTACTTTATCTGCTTAAAGGCCCTGTCTCCAAATATAATCACATTGGGGGTTAGACTTCAGTGTATGAATTTTGGAGGGGGTAGAGGGTACACAGTTCAGTTCATAAAATGCCATAGTAAGAATATGCAAATTTTCTCTTTTTCTGTGCTCTGGAACAACTGACATAATGTTGGGGGTGGAAAACAGAAATACCGTTGGGTATCTGCTCTTTAGAGATGTAGAAATTCTCATGTGAAATTGTGACGGCCTAGTGCTTTTTTTGTAAGGGAAGAGTGGCTTTTTGGTAATTTCCTCTGTGCTTTAATGTTAATGTCTCTAAACTTTATCTTTGCTGGGGTCAGTTTTGGTAAAGTATATATATTTTGTTCTATGAATTGCCTATTTCTTCCAGATTTTTAATGTGCCTGCATAGGGTTATGCAAGGTTATATAGTCTGAGATTAGCAAAATCTATTCCAGTGGTTTTCTTCTCTCACATTTTTTGTTTTATGTTTCCTTAGTTACCTAGTAGTTGAAACACTTTACTGATGTATTTTAGAGAGTCTGCTTTTTGGTTTCACTTTTTTAAAGCTATATATTTCTGCTTTTATGTTGATTAATTCCTTTTTTGCTTTCTTTCAGTTAATCATTTTCCCCCCCTCAAACTTTTGAGCTAGAAATTTAAGAAATGTGTTTTCTTTCATTTTTGAGATCATATTTAAGTCCATTGTGGAGAACATAGCCAAACAGTTGCATCTAAAATATTTAATATTTTACTGGAGATATTAGCAATGCAGTTAGACAAGAAGAAGATCAGTTAGAGGCAAAAAGCCTTGGAAAAGTTAACTTGTGCTTATAGATGACATAATATGCTAAAAATGCTAGAGAATGTGTGGTAAGACTGAAACAATAAACAGGGAATGGATATAAAATTAGCAGAAATAGTCATCATATGCACAAACAGTAACTAATTATGTTAGTATAAAAATTCCTCTTATACAGCAATAAAGATAAAATATTTAGTAGTAAATCTATAGGGCAAGTTTTAAAACTTCTGAAAAACATGAAAATAAACTTTGAATAAATGCAGAGATATCCCTTGTTCCTGGCTACTGGGTTAACATAAAAATATCAAAAGAAAAGCTGTGGTCATAATCTATATTTAAGCATGCTATAGTGAAAGCAGTGTGGTCTTGGCATATAAATAGATCGGTGGAATAGAACAGAAAAGTTAGAAGTTGATTCAGTACATATAGAATTCGGGTATATACAATGAAGGTATTATCTCAGATTTCAGGGGCAAAGATTAGCTTTTTAGGAAGTGGTGCTGGACAACTGAATAGCCAGTTAGGAAAATATGAAATTATATTTCTACTTTATACCATATACAAAAATAAACTACAAATAAGCTAGAGAACTAAATATAATAAGTGAATCCATATAAGTACTAGAAGAAATTGTAGGTAAATTTCTCTAACCTTAGGAGGTTTCAAAATCCAGTTTCAGTTTAAAAATTGATAAATTTGACTATGTAAACACTTAAAAATTCCACTCTGCATAGCAAAAAAGACGAAGTTAAAAGATAACCAAAAACTGAGAGAAAATATTTGCAGTATATGTTGCAACTTAAGGACCAATATCCTTAATGTGTGAAGAACTTTTTAAAAAATTGAGGGACTAAAGACTAAAATTGACAGAAAAGCAGGCAAAAAACGTTATTTATAATTGCAAAATATTCTGGACAATCTGAATGTAAGTGTCAAAATAATGTAAACACATAGGAGATTGGTTGAATAAACTTTGGTGCAGCCACATAATACAGTACTATGCAGGAGGGAAAAAGAATGAGGAGGAGCTCTATGAACTGACATGGGAGTGATTCCCAGGGTATATTACTAAGAAACTCAGAGGGCAGGAGAGTATCTATAGTTTGTTTCTGTCCATCTATGGTGGAAGGAGAATTAACAAGCTATAAATCTACCTGCTTGTTTCTGCAACACACACACAAAAGATAAGTCAGAAAATGGTGACAATAATGGGGTGGGTGAAGGGGTTGGGGAGTGACACTATTAAACTATATTAATGTTTATATATTAAAATAATAAAATCAAGACTGGGGGTAAGCCTTTGAAATAGAAACAAATGAACTTGACTGTTTCCAATGAATAACTTGGACATAGTATTTTGACTACTTACATTTACTCTAATGATAGAAATAGTTATAAAGAAATGCTGAATTTAATTAGTTTTTTTTTTTGAACTCATATGGGTCAGCAATTCTGAACCATTTCATTTCTATTTGAGGATTGAATAAGTACGTACATTTTGAGGATAATGGAAGTTAGATGTCCACTGTAGGAGAAAGAGGTTATGGTATGGAAAGGGGGATACTAGAATGAACTAGTTGGATTGGACTAGAATTGGAATTATCAGTATGAACTCCTGGTTTTCATATTACTTACAGAAATAAGTTTGTGTGTGTGTGTGTGTGTGTCTGTGGATTTCCTAGCTCTGTGCTCTAGGTTAGGTTCTTAGAAACAATCATTTACCCTGCTCCCCCATCCCTGGGACCTGGGCCTCTTGGAGAAATGGCTGATTCTATACTTGGGACAGAAAAAAATACAAGATGAATCTGAAAGTAAGGTAGTGCTCAAAGAGTGATGGAGAAACATCAAAAGGGCACAAGATCTACCTTGAATGAGTCCCCACCGTCAGATATGGGACATTTGGAACATAATGTTGGTAAAGATTACAATCCACATAATAAAACAAAAATCTATAATACTATGGATTTCCCATAAGTAAATGGGAAAGACAAAGACATTTCTTATTTTTTTCAAATTTATTATTATTATTATTTTTTGGTGGGGGGAGGCTTATTTATTTTAATGGAGCCACTGAGGATTGAACCCAGGACCTTGCGCATGCTAGCCAGGCACTCTACCACTGAGCTAGACACCGCCGCCAACCTCCGCCCTGGCAAGGACATTTCTGACGGTAGGATGCCAAGTAATAGAAGAAGGAAAAATGGAGTCAGAGAAATCATTTGGCAACTGTCATCGCAGTAATCGGGTTAATAAGTGAGAATCATCAGTGAATGTTAACTAACCCTACTGGGGGAAAGCTTGATGAAGAATAGGATTTTTACATAATTTCGCAATATTTCCCCACAAGATACTTACTAATAACAAGTGGAAAAATAGTAACTTTACAGGGGAGAAACCTGGCATGTGTCACCACCATTAATGGACAAATTGACATGTGCCTTTTGATGTGATTCACTTGAGAGGGTCACTCCTGTGACATTCTGCCAAAAATGCTTAACCTGAAATTAAACATGAAGAAACATTAAACCGAAATAGGAGGCAAATAACCAAATAACTGATCTGTAGTCTTCAAAGATGTTATGAACATGAAAGACAAAGATTGAGAGGGAAAAAATTAAGGGAGGCTAAAGAGACATGACCACTAAAAGTACCAGGTAATCTTGGATCAGGTTCTAGAACCAGATTTTTGTTGCTATAAAGGATGTTATTGGGATAACTGGCAACATTTGAATAAGGTTTTATAATGGTTAATAATGTATTAATGTTGACTTACTGATTTAACAGTATCACTGCAGTTATATAAGAGAATGTCCTGTTCTTAGGAGACAGACAGGTACTTAGAGGTAAAGAGGCATCATGTCTGTAATTTATCCTCAAACAGTTCAGGAAAAAAATTTGTGTGTATATACATATATATAGCTAGAAAATGTATATACACACACATAACTTGAGAGACAGAGAGAAAAGTGGGGTAGGCAGGTAGGGAGAGGGAACGATAAAGCTTACATGGTAAAAATAAATGGTGAACCTGGGTGAAGGATATTTCACTTCTTCTGTACTATTCTGGAAATTTTTATGTAAGTTTGAAACGATTTCAAAATAAGGTTAAAAAGTGTAATAAATATGCCAAATTCAAATAGAACCTTTAAAAGAGGTTGCACTGGTTTATCCTCCCCCAGCAGCGTGTGAGAGGGTTTTCCCCTCCCATGGGAGGAGGTGCTGCCTCTGTCTGGTGTCCTGCTTCCTTGAAGGAACCTGTGGTGGGGAGGGAGCCCTCCAGCCTGTAATTCTTCAGTGTAAATGTCTGTAATCCTGTAGCGTAAACGTCTGTAATTCTGTAACGTAGTTGTCTCTTGTTTATCATTTTGAGATCAGGAGTAAATTTATCCCTGCAGGTGGTCGATGAGCGAGAATTTTTTGAGATCATGCCCAATTATGCCAAGAACATCGTCGTTGGTTTTGCGAGAATGAACGGGAGGACTGTTGGAATTGTTGGCAACCAGCCTAAGGTGGCTTCAGGTAGGAGGGAGAAGCTCTCCTGGACCTTAGGGTTGGGGGGCGGTGGTGGTGCTGTTGGGGGCTGGGGCTGCCTGGGCCCACGGTGCTCATCTTCTGCCATCTGTAGCCAGAGGAAAAACTCAGATAGGTGTTGCTGCAAAAGCTCCTTTCTCTCTTAATTTCTCAGAATTAACAAGCATCTCAAAATGCTTCTTTCATACTTCCCTAATTTTTCCAGTTTATAGATAACTTTATTCCTCAACTTACAAGGTCTTTACTTCTTCAGAGGTCTGCTTTCTGTCCCCCTAATTAGATTATAACTCACCCACTAAACTGAGCTCCATGAGACCAGGGGTGTTGGTGTCTTACTTACTTAGTTTTATCCCTGGTGCCTTCAGTGGTGCCAGGTACCTAGCTGGTACGTGACGAGTTAACAGCATCTTGCTGTGTCTGTGCCCCACGGCTTTCTGGTGATGTGGCCAGACCTGGTCACAGCCGGGCAGTGGGGACTCTTCCATGGCTGTGCTCTGGGTGGGGTTGGGGGCTCTGGATACTGCTTCCTTCCTTCCTATTTTCCTTTCTTTGGTTTCCTTTGAATCCCTGTGTGGGATGAATACACCCTCCCTTTTTGACCCAACTTCATCTTTTATTTCTGCTATGGCAGTTTTTTCTTGTCTTTAGAAGAAGGTTTTTAAAGATGTTTTTTATTGTGGTGAAATATGTTTAACATAAGATTTGCCATTTTAACCATTTTTAAGTGTGCAATGTGGTGGTGTTGGTTACATTCATAATGTGTGTAGCCATTACCACTGCAGTCTCCAAATTTTTTTCAAATCCCAAATAGAGACTCCCTTTCATCCTAACCCCAGCACTGGGTAATCTTAATCTACTCTCTGTTTCTGTGAATTTACCTATTCTAGATATGCCATATAAGTGGAGGCAAATAATATTTGTTCTTGTGTGTCTAGTGTGTTTCACTTAGCATAATGTTTTCAAGGTTCATTTGTATTGTAGCATATATCAGAACTTCAGTTTGATTTTTCATGTCTGAGTAATATTCCATTACATGTATATCCTACATTTTGTTTAATCATTTGACTGTTGATGGATACTTGAATTGTTGGATGTTGCAAATAATGTGACAGTGAATATGGTGTACAAGTATCTGGTTGAATCCCTCTCTCCAGTTCTTTTGGGTGTATACCTAATTGTGGAATTACTGAGTCATATTGTAATTTTAGATTTACTTTTTTGAGGAAATAGCACACTTTTCCACAGTGTTTGCACCATTTTACATTTTCACTAGCAGTTCACAAGGGTTCCAATTTCTTCATACTCTCGTCAACGCTTGTTATTTTCTGGTATATGTTGATAATAGCCAACCCTAATGGGTCTGAAGTATTTTCTCATTGTAGTTTTCATTTATATTTCCCTAATGATTAAGGATATTGAGCATCTTTTCTTGTGTTTACTGGCCATTTGCATATCTCTGGAGAAATATCTATTCAAATCCTTTGCCCATTTTTAATTACTTGAAGTTTTTTGTTGTTGTTGTTGAATTGCAGGAGTTCTTTGTATATTCTGGATATTAAACCTTTATCAGAATAAATGATTTGCAAATATTTTCTTCCATTCTGTAGGTTGTATTTTCATTTTCTTGATAATGTCATTTGACACACACAAGTTTTAAAATTTTGTGAAGTTTAATACCCTCTCTCTCTCTCTCTTTTTTTTGGTTGCTTATGCTCTTGGAGTCATATCTAAGAACTTACTCCCAAGTCCAATGTCATGAAGGTCTCCCCCTGTGTTTTCTTTTAGGAGTTTTATGCTTTCAGCTTTTACATTTAGCTTTGATCAATTTCGAGTTAGTTTTTATACATGGCGTGAGTTAGGGGTCCAGTATCTTTCTTTTGCGTGTAGAAATTATCTCAGCACCATTTGTTGAATAGACCATTTTTTTCTTATTGAATATACTTGGCATTTTTGTCAAAAATCAATGGGCTACAGATATATGGGTTTATTTCTGGATTCTCAGCACTGTTCCTTTGGTCTACATGTCGCCATATGCTACTACCACACTGTTTTGATTACTTTAGGTTTGTACTTTAGTCTTTTCATGTTGTTGTTGTTTCCCAAGATTATTTTGGCTTTTTGGGGCTCCTTGCAATTCTGTCTGAATTTGACTATTGGCTTTTCCATTTCTGCAAAAAAGGTTGTTGGAATTTTGATCGGGGTTGCACTGAATCTGTTGATCACTTCATACAGTATTGACATCTTAACAATGTTAAGTTTTCCAACTTATGAACACAGAATGTCTTTCCATTTATTTTGGTCTTCTTTTATTTCTTCAACAGTGTTTTGTAGTTTTTACTGCACAAGGTTTTTTTAACCTTTTGGTTAAATTTACTCTTAAGTGTTTTATTCTTTTGGATGCTGTTGTAAATGGAATTCCTTTCTCAATTGACTTTTTGGCTTGTTCATTATTGGTGTATAGAAAGACAGCTATGCAACTGCTTTTTGTTTGCTGATCTTGTAACCTGCAGCTTTGCTGAATTCATTAGCTTTAGTAGCTTTCTTGTGGATTCTCTGGGATTTTCTATTTATAGGATCATGTTATATGTATATTGAACCACTTTTGCATTCCTGGGGTATGTCCCATTTGGTCATGGTAAATAGATTTTCTTAAAAAAAAAAAAACCTTCATTTTTTAGAACTTTTTTTAGGTTCACAGTAAAATTGAGTGGAGACTACAGAGAGTTCCCATACGTATCCCGTTTTCACACATGCACAGCTTATCCTGCTATCAGTATTCTGAACCAGAGTGGTACATTTGTTACCTGCCATTTGCAGCATCATACAGAATGAGTTCACTTGCTCTAAAACTCCTGTGCTCCTCCTATTCATCACTCCCCTCCCCCTAACATTGAAAACCTGGTGACCCCTGGCAACCACTCATCTGTTTACTGTTCCTATAGTTCTCCTTTTCCAGAATGTCATATAGCTGAAATCACAGAGTATGTAGCCTTTCCAGATCATCTTCTTCCACTTAGCAACAGGGAAGACACTGGTCTGAAAAGGTTACATACTCTATGATTCAGGTTTCTTCGTGGCTTGATAGCTCATTTCTTTTTAGCGTTAAGATTAAATTGTCTGGATGTACCACAGTTCATTTATCTACTCACCTATTAAGGACATCTTGGCTACTGGTTTTTTTTATTGTGATATTTGGTTTATTGGGGTTCTCTGGAGTTAAATTTACAATATCTCCTAAGTATGCCTGTAGTTTTATTTCATAGGCCAATATTACCAATCAATGAATATTTAAATAAGATGGAGGTAAATAAGATGGAAAGTTTATCCAAGAAGAAGATGAATGTATTTTGAAGAAGGAATCATTCACAATTATTATGGATACAAAAGGACACGTTTCCATTTAACCAGTAACAGGTGTAAAGCGATAATAGCTCTTGAAATTATTGCACATGTTGTGATCAGCTAAGATATTAAGTGAAAACATGAGGAAGCAATAATGCATTTAAGGTAGTGATATATTATTATGGTTTAGAAATCATATCAGCAGATTATTAACATAGGATTACTAAAAAATACCTGTTAGAGATAATGTAATAATTTTTGAGAAAGATTCAAAAGACGTAAGAGTTCATCTAAAAGCTTTGGAAATACGTATCTAAATAAAATGAAATAGATTTTTTTTTAACAGCACCATTATTTATAATTGCCACATCTTGGCTACTTTTGAGTTTTGGCAGCTACGAATAGAGCTGCTAAAAACGTCCTTGTGCAAGTTTTCGTGTGGACTTAAGTTTTCAACTCATTTAGGTAAACACGGAGGAGTGTGATTGCTGGCTCGAATCGTAAGAATATGTTTAGTTTGTGGGAAACTACCAAACTGTCTTCCAGAGTGGTTGTACTAATTTGCATTCCCACCAGCAGTAAATGAGAGTTCCTGGTGTTCCACATGCTTGTCAGCTTTTGGTGTTGTCAGTGTTCTGAATTTTGGCTGTTCTGGTAGGTGTGGACTGGTATCTTGTTTTAATTTGCATCATTTCCCTGATGATATGATATGGAGCATGCTTATTTGCCATTTCTGTTTTTTTCTTTGGTGAGGTATCTGTTTAGGTCTTTTGCCCAGTTTTTTATTTGGGTTGTTTTCTTTTTTTTCTTTTTGTTTTGGTTTTTCCTTTGAGGAGGGGGAGGTAGTTTGGCTTACTTTGGTTTACTGGTTTATTTATTTATTTCATGGAGGGACTGGGGATTGAACCCGGGACCTTGTGCACGCTAAGCACACACTCTACCACTGAGCTATCCCCTCCCTGCTTGGGTTGCTTTCTTCTTGTTGAGTTTGACCTAAATAGAAAGGCAGATGGAGGCAATCTCAGAAATACGAGTTTACTCAAGAACAGCAGAGGAACTGCAGTTCAGAACAAGCAAATTGTAGCAGCCCACCAGTGAGAGCGTCGAGGGTTTGGGGCAGGTTGTATTTATGGACAGGAAATGTAAGAAGGGAGAGTGCAGTTAGAGTCAGTTAAAATAAAAAACAAATAGAGACCAGCCTTGAAAGCTTCCTGAGCAGACAAAACTAGTCCAGTCACATAAACAAAGCTCAGTTCAGCCCACTTTATGAGACCAACTCGACCTGGGTCATCTCCCGTTCATAAAACTTTCCAAGGTTGATATGAGACATCTCCTGATCAATCCCCCATCTGAGAAAATGTCAGCATTGTCAGTTTTCTGTAAATCAGGCATTTAAGGGAAATCACGTTCTTAGTCTTTAAGTTTTGTCTTTCTGAGGGCACATGTGAGGTTCTCCTTTATATCCACCAGTTCTATTTTAGATTGAAATTCTTTCACAAGTTTTAAGAGTTCTTTGTATGTGTGAGATAGCAGTCCTTTATCAGATATGTATTTTGCAAATATTTTCTCCTAGTTTTTGTTTGTCTTCTCATTTTCTATATGTCTTTCACAGAGTAGAAGTTTTTAACTTTAATCAAGTCCAGCTA